TTTCTAGGATAATGGAAGGTACTTAAGTGCCAGGTTTTCTAAACTGAACAAGTAGTTGGTGTTTTCATCACTGGTCAAAAGCTGTTATTTCTGCATGTCTTGAGCAGGACTGTAGGTGACATGTCCTTTCATTTGCAGATAAGATTGATACCCAGTTGTTGTGCTGCAAGTGTTGACCCAAGAATGGTCTGGGAACCATCTCCAGCTAGTTCTAGAAAAGTTGGCATAGAATCTCAGCAGAGTTTAGGTGAGGAGGGACTGTTGGAGGTCTTTAGTCCTGTTGTCTGCTCAGGGCTGTGTCTGGTCAGTTCTGAGCACCCTGAGGGATGGGGGACCCACAGGGTCTCAGGAAGGATCTCAGCCTGGCCTGCACAGACTGGCACGGGGCCAGCCTTCATCACCACAGGCGCAGTGCTGCTTCTTCATCAGGGGAACTGACCTTTGCTGGGTGGCAGAAACTCTAAGGTGACACTACAAAGACACTAGCTCTGACAGAATCCAAGTGATTCTGGCTGTAACCAGATTCCTGGGGGGAGAAAAGGGGGATAGAGAGGAATTTGATGTGGTTCCTTGCCATCCACACATGTACACTTGAACATTTGCACTAAGTGCTCACAAACTTAACTCTTCTTTTGTGTTTTGCTAAGTTATTTTCGTGTTTAAGATGTACTGTGTGTTTAAGATGTACTGTGTGTTGAGACGCAGCAGTTAATTTGGAGCCATGTAATGCCCTGTAGGAGAGTCTTGCTGCAGGGGCAAACACCAGGAGCAGGGAATCTGCAGACTAAACAATGCTGTCATGCGTTTCTCTTCCCAGTCTGCAGAGGAGTGGTGCCTCCATAGTGTTGTTTGTGAGGGCAAGTGCAGAAGGAGCTGTGAATCTGGGTGCATAACCCAAAAAGAGCTGTCAGACAGTGTTGAAAGGGGAATGGGGCCATAGCTGCTGTGCATTTTTCAAACAGTCAGAGATAAAAACCTGCCTTTATTGTGCAGCATTGCCATTGCCTTCAGAAAGCTTTGACAGCGTTATTTCGGATATTCCATTTGGGAAGAAGTTCAAGACCACGAATGACGCCCAGCTCCTACCAGATAGTCTCCAGGAAATGGAGAGGTACGTGTAACCTTTGACATGCTTGGGGTTTGATGGAAGTGTCACCACAGTTCGTGATGTAAGCATGCAGTCAGCTTCAGATTTGCTATACTCCAAAGTCTCCAGCTCTGTAGTCTGACCCTGTGCAGGCTGTGGAAGTCTCAGCCCTTTACTTTTCCCTTAGAGACTGTTGTGTTGTGTCTTGCCAGCTGTGAGTGGTGATGGCATCACAGGCTGGCAAGGAATGATCTTGTGTGAGCCATGCTCACAGATATTCTTTGCAAGGCATGATGGTGAAACATTTCTAAGCCACACTCAAAAGTATGGCAGAAAGGAGAAAGAGGAGAGGCCTATCTGCACAAAGTTAAAGCATGAACAGTCAAATAAAGCTATAATGCTTTTTCAGTTGAGGCCTGCTTGTATAAAATCATAGGCTTTCCTTTTTGAGGTCACAGCCAAGCTTTGACCAGCCTGCCTTGATAAGAAGGATCTCAGACTAGAAAAAGTGGCGTGCATTTTCCTTGCTATCCAGGAATAGCTCATTAGCAACCTGGTCTGATTTTAGGTGTGTCCTTTCATCTCTCACCTTACCATTTTGTGGCAGAGTTGAGCTAAGCTAATAGGAGGGCTGCTTCTAACAGACAGTTCAAGCCATCTTCTCCTCTACTTCTTGTGTGAAGACAAGCCCTTTCTCTAGGACTGGTCTTCAGTGGGTGTTGATCTCGCTCACCCGATGCAGGAATGTGGTGGGAGAAGGTGGTATGGCGCCACAGAAGGATGTGACAATCTTACTGTGCTTGTCTTCTTGCCTTATTAGCTCTACTGGTCTGTCCTAAGCAAAATATTCCCTTGGGAAGGTGGAGATGAGGAAGGAACCATTATCATGAGAGCCCCACCAGTAAAACTGTTCAAGCTACTTGTGGTAAACTGAGTCAGGATAGTATTTTTCCCCCCCTCTTTTAAAGCCAAGTATAATGTTTGGACATATACTTAGAAAAATTAATTACAAACAACCGTTAATTTTCCTTTGCTTCCTGAGTTTGAAAGCCATTAAGGGTCAGTGGAACAGGGAAAGGGCAGACCTTTTAAAGTTTCCAAAAGGGAGGGCCAGTTTCAGAATTACCCTGCTAATCTGAAAAACCCTTGCTGCACTGGGAGTCTGTTCCTCTACAATCTCCAAAAGCCCTAGGCTTGACGGTGCTCCTCAATCCTTAAAAGAATGCTGATGGTGGTAAAAAATGAGACCATCTTCCCTGCTAACCCAATACAAAGAAATGCTAACATCAGAAATGTTTTGGAGTCAGGACAGAGCCCTGTTCTTCCATTTAGAAAGAGGTAAGAAGATGCGGGATTTCAATTTCCCTTGGAGATGCAGCTCACTGAGTTGAGCCATGACACACTCGAGTGTTTTATTGAATGTAGGTGTCAGCTGAAGGCCCAGCAGTGTTGCATTCTGCACGGGCAAAGGGATGCCAGGAAGGATCAACACCTAACCTTTACTTTTCCTGTGCTTGCCAGAGTGCTTCGTGTTGGCGGGACTCTCGTGTTGCTGCTGAGCCAGGAGCTCCACAGACACGCAGATGGTTTGACCAAGTGTGCTGGAGGTGACCGTGCTGATGGTGACAGCGGAGCAGCCCCTGCACCAGCCCTGAGTGTGGATGGGAATTCTTCCTCCTCAGCACAGGGAGGTGGGGAATCTGTTCTCAGCAGACATTTTGGTTCTTTGGTGCTGGAGGGTGTCTATGCCGTTAGTCTGGGGAAGACTGAGGCTTTCATACACAAATACAGGAAGGCGTCTGCTGCTGGGAACTCGGGGCTGTCTGGCCCTGAGCTGAAGGGAACTTGAACCCCGAGACGCTTCAGGAGCAGCACGGCAGGACTCGGTGGAACTCTGCTGATGCAGACAAACCCGGTGCCATCCCTTAGATTGCCTCACATTCTCTGGATGTCCTAAGGCACTGTGATTTTCTCTCTTTCAGTTTTTGGAAGAGATGGAAGATGCCTACCAGTGTTTCAGCCAGTTCTACTGTATTGTATAGAGTGAAACAGGATATAGTATATTGTAATGAGGCAGAGTCCTCAAATCTTTGTTTAGGAAAAGCTGCTCAGTATTGGGAGGAGTTTCTACGGGAGACAAAGTCTTTCTTTGCAGAACTGCAAAACCATACGTGGTAGTCCATGATCTTTTGGCTGTCCCGTCCAGCTCTTAATTTTAAAGTAATATTTAAGCTACAGCTTTGTTCTATTCTAGCTATTCTTAATGTTCAGATTGTTCTTAGGTGGAGGATAGGCAAGCCATCTGAGTTGCTGAGAAGGAAGGGAAGACAGAAGGAGAAATAAGCAGCACGGACAGCTAGAGTTGCAACAAGTCCCAGGCCCTTGGGCCCCGACTCTGTTTTGTGTCTCCTGGGTCCTCCCTGCCTCTGCCTCTCCCCCTCTCTCCCACACTGTTGTGACACATTTTTTTCTTCCCCGTGCCTTTTCTCTTGATTCTTCTGTCCCATCAAAATAGGGCTTTTTAGAACTGTATCAGCATTAAATAAAGGGCCCAAGGCAATACTGCAATCACTCTGTCCTTTGGGTTTTTTTAGCATCCTTTGTACAAAAGGCTGAGATAGCAAAAACCAAAAATGATTGCATATTTTCTGTGAGAACTAAACAAAGACTTCTCAGTGCTTTCCTAAGCCATGTCAATCTGCAGAAGCACTGGTGGGCTTTTGAGAAGGGAAAATTAGGATAAAATACTAAATACATTTCTGTATGCTTCTGTGTCACGTTTTTGACTGAAGATCACCTTAAAGAGCAGAATTGGTTTTAATAATGTTATTTTGTTGACTTCAACAGACTTTCTCTCAAATGTTTTTGCTGAGAAAAGTATAACATTAGTTTTGTGGGGGCAGTTAAATGAAAGTGAGATGCAAATGAGGGAATTGCTTGTGTGTGTGAATATTCTTGTCCTAAAGGAGCTATCAGCTCTGTACCAACCCTGTACTGAGTTAAAAAATATATTTCTTTAAAAACTCGCAAACAGAGGCTACATTTTGTGTCAGGTAGAATTTCTAGGGGCTGACATCAGGAAATCTGTGAGCCGACTCTAGCTGAGCTCAGCCAAACTGAGCCGAGTTCAGCCGAACCGAGCCGAGTTCAACTGAACTGGGCCGAGTTGAGCCGAACCAAGCCGAGCAGCGGTGAACGCAGAGAGCGGCACCGAGTTCAGGCAAACCTAGACGAGCGTAGACGAGAATAGCCGAATTTAGACGAAGATCCGAATCTGGCCGAGTGCAGCCTAACAGAGCCGAGCTCCGCCGAAGAGCCGAGAATAGCCGAGTGCGGCCGAACACTGTCAACAGCACCGAGTTAAACCGGGCCGAGCGGCAGCGAGCTCGGCCGAACTCAGCCGCCTGCTCTCGTGCCAATTAATTATTGCGAGTTTAGTCACTGTCTAGTGAGCTCCTGCCCGACCCCGCGCTCCCATCCGTGTCCGTGCCATGGCCGGGCCTCCCGCAGGACTCGGCAGCAGGAAAACACCGAGCTCTGCGTGTTTAACGTGAGCCGGCCCCGTTTTCCCTCGCGCAGCGCCTCTTGCCGAGCTCAGCTGAACCGAGGGAGCGGTACTGAGCTCGGCCGAAACGAGCCTAACCAACTTCTGTCGAATCTAGCCAAGATGAGCTGAACTGAGGCAAATCCAGCCGCACCGAACCGTGTTTAGCCGAGCCCAGCCGAACCTAGACGAGCTCACCCAAACCAGCCCTAACGGAGTTCGGCCGAACCCAGCCGAATGTAGACGAGCTTAGACGATATGAAATTCTGCTGAACTTGTGTTTTCTGATATGTAAAGTGACAAGGACTCTGCTGAATTCCAGCACACGAGCAAGAACAGCAGCAACAGCTCCAGCTGAAGCTAATTTACCCCCTTGGAGCCAGCCAACATCACAAAAGGCAAAGACACTGACAGGAGATAGGCAATACTATTTATTGTTTTCTTCCACCACTCCTTGGTAGCTGTCTTTTAAAAAAACATTACTGACATCTTGAACCGCTGGGATCGCACAGTGATTCCAACACATTCCGGTGGCAAGCGCTCAGTCCCGGGAGCTGCCCTGGGTGCTCTCATGACCATTAATTAGCGCGAGTGCAGTCACTGCCTAATGAGCTCCTGCCCGACCCTGCGCGCCCGTTCGTAGCCGTGCTGAAAAGAATGAGAAGGAGGTGTCTTTACAAACTGTGGGCCTGCTGGTAGATAAACCCAGATACTGACAGGTGAAAGAAGTAATGACTGGAACCATAAATTCCAGAGGAATTCCACTAATTGACACAGACTGTTGCTTCCCCCAAGGCCATGCTAAATTCCTGGACTTAAAGGAAAAGAACAAGAGACACAAAGAAAAAGAAGCCGGGACACGAGGAATGCACATTAGAAGGGGGTCTGTATTAGGCGATTCGGGAAGTCTGTACCTTTCAACTACCTCAGCGGGGAAGAGAAAGAAATGCGGCTGCGAAATTAGAATAAATAGGAGGTTGCGTCCTCCAACAGCTTGAGAGACCACATGGGAAATGCCCATGGCCTCTCCCTTTATTCAAATAAAGTTACGGGACTCCTCTGTCCCCTTTTTAGCTCTCGTGTTTGTGGGTTAATTTTCCTGACAGTGCGATGGCTGGGCTGCCCGTGGGACTCGGCGGGAGGGAAACACCGAGCTCTACGTGTTTAATGTGAGGCGGCCCCGCTTTCCCCACCGCGGCGCCTCGGCCCGGCCCGCGCCGCCCTCAGAGAGCCGAGCCGGGCTCCGGGGAACGCAGCGAGCGGCACCGAGTTCGGCCGAACCGAGCCGAGCTGTGCCGAACTTGAGCCGAGCAGCACCGAGCTCGGCCGAACCGAGACGAGCTGTGCCGAACTTGAGCCGAGCAGCACCGAGCTCGGCCGAACCGAGACGAGCTGTGCCGAACTTGAGCCGAGCAGCACCGAGCTCGGCCGAACCGAGACGAGCTGTGCCGAACTTGAGCCGAGCAGCACCGAGCTCGGCCGAACCGAGCCGAGCCATTCAAAACGCAGAAACAAGCCCTCAAAGTCTGAGCAGCAGGCCCAGCACAGGTAGGCAGGTTTGGCATTTTCTTTGCTATGCTGCAGGTGTATTCAAGACATCTTTCCTCTTCGTTTGACAGAAGCAATAAAAAAAAAAATTCTTACCAAAACAGGATGTATTGTCTCCAGTCTATCAAATAGCTAAATACCACCAGCTATCTGTCCATATTTTAAAAGCAGCTGGAGAACTTGCATCCCAGAGACCTAGGGACTGTCTGAGGAGAACTGTGGCCAGCTCTGTTAATTGTTAAGCACTCCTGGAGCAGCAGAGAGGTTCGAGGAAGCTGGAAGAGTTCCAGTGTCCCAGTACCCAAAGAGACTGACCTGGTCAAGCCAGGTCACACTTAGGCAGCGCTGCGACTGACCCCAGCCCAGGCAAAATCACAGAACTAAAGCTGAGATAAGATACAACTGAAAAAAAGTCTTTCAAAGGACAGGGAAGCTAATTCCAGACTCTGTGGGTTTGGAGAGACAAGTACAGTGACAATGTCTGATGTAATTTTTTTCAGGGAAGTGGGATTTGAAGGATGAAGGCAGCTAGCTGCACATCTGTGATTTACTATGAGGGTAGTCATGCACCACATCCAAATACTGAATGGAGTTTCTTACTGCAAGAGATCTGTCTGGAGCCAGCAGGGAGCCTCTAGGCCCTGGATTGAGCTTCTCCAAGAGCAAGAAACATGAATGAGGGTTGAGACACAGATCGTCCAACTCTCAGGGCATCCAGCTTGGGTTTCTCTCCATTACACTGTCCGGTAGGAAAGTAATAGCCAGAAGATTTGTGTTGTGCATGGCTATCAGGAATGCACTGCCTCCAGTGAAATGCGTAGGACACCTGGAAGGAGCTCGCCCTGTCCTCTTTGCATGGCGTGAAGTTCCAGCCTTGATCAGGAACTATCTCCAGCCACAAACACGTATTTCTCTGTATTGTTTTGGATGTTAATACACATAATTGAAGCAAATGTTAATGCACTGCATCCCAGCAGTGTGATCATTAGCTGCCTTGGCAGGTTTGAAATCGTTGGTCCCATGCTCCAGACCTTTTGTCTTATTTCTGTGGGATAGTGCAGTGCTGACAAAAGGGATTGGGACATGGATACCTCACTGCAGGGCTTGTACAGGCATCAGCCTTGCCCCCTCTCCCAGACTCATCCATCAAAATTGGCACCAAGTCATTCGGTATTGCAGAGGAGTCTGTGGTGCAATCAGATCATGGATTCAGGTCCAGGACCTCTGAGTGTCTAAGGATTCAACTGTAAACAGAGCTGTTGCATAGGCCTTTGGGAAGACACTTTGACTGACTTGTTTCTGTGCAGATGTGCAGGTAAGAACAAGGGACTCTGCTGTGGAGGGTGGTGTGCCCTTGCCAAGAGAATTAACCCTTAGTGTTACACAGTGGGGGAAGAGATGGTTGTCATGCGTAGCCAAAATTGCATCAACACTGTTTCAAAAGAGGTGGTGGGGGGGAATCTGCCAGGGCAGGGGGGATTCTGCTCCTCTCCCCCACTCAGGTGAGACCCCACCTGCAGAGCTGCCTCAGCCCTGGGGTCCAGCACAAGAAATGTGTGAACAAGTGCAGAAGAAGCCATGGAGATGCTCTGAAGGGTAGAGCCCCTCAGCTCTGGAGCCAGGCTGGGAGAGCTGGAGGTGTTCACCTGCAGAAGGCTTCAGGGAGACTTTAGAGCCTCTTACAGGGCCTAAAGGGGCTCCAGGAGAGTTGGAGAGAGACTTGGGACAAGGGATGGAGGGATAGGACAGGGGGAATGGCTTCCCACTGCCAGAGGGCAGGGTTGGATGGGATGTTGGGGAGGAAATCTTGGCTGTGAGGGTGCAGAGGTCCTGGCACAGGTTGCCCAGAGAAGCTGCCTCCTCTCAGCAGGATGTGGGCGAGCTGGGAGAGCAGATGGGTCCTGCATGTCCCTTGGCTTGACAGAGATGGATAAGCATAGACACGATGAAGGTAAAAGTTCGCCAGCCTTGACCGGTGACGTGAGCATGCATTTGTTGGGTGAGTGTATCAGGATTATCATAAGAAAAGAGACATGAGGTTTCCATACAGATATTGGATGGTTGTCATGCCAAGGGCAGTGAGTGGGTGACACAGCAGAGAGGATGACAGGGCAAGGGGCTGCAAGTTTACACTAGTGGCTTCTTCCAAATACTCTGAGATTTTCACGTACACAGACTTTTCCTACCAGTTTTTTAGGAACAGTAAATTTTTGGTAACAAGGCTCTGTTATCCTGCAATTTCATGTCCATTTCCATGTCTGTTGTGTTGTTAGTCTGCCTCCTGCTTTGTGGTTTATTTGGGTAAACTGCGGGGTTTTTTTTTTGTTTTTGTTACCTTTTGTGAGCATGCCAGAGGCCCTAGGGTGCCAATAAATGAGAATATTAGTGCTCCTTTTGACTGCTGTTTCCCTCTGCTTGTTTGTGACCTAATCCTGAATCTCTGCCCAACCTGCTGAGCTGAACTTTTTGTGTCCTGATCTGATAAAGGAGGAGCAGTGGGTCAAGAGACACTCCAACCAAATACTGACAGAAAAAGTATCACCTCTGTGCAGTTATAAACATTGTGTGTCATTACTGGATCACTCCACGCAGTGAATGTTTCCTGCAGGTTATTTTTTTCCCACCAGTATCTACTTACTTCATCTCTGGTTATACTTACTTTGCTGGCATTGATCCAGAGCAGGACATACACAATAAAATAAGGAAAAGAAACGTCACGAATGCAGCAAGGCCGACCCAAAAGGCAATGACGATGGAGTCTGTGGACACAGCACAGTAATTCTGTCACATGCATTTTTCGTGGCAAAAATAAAACATAGCAGGATGATTTATATAGTAAAGGTGTGCCATTTGATTAATTCAGTTTCTCCTTTTAGAGAGAGGAATCTAAGAGGCAATTGTTAAAGGTCTTGGGAGCCTCCTCGCAGTGTATGGTAACAGGGATGAGGAAGGGGTTGGGAAAAGCCTCCAGAGTGTGGTGACTAGAACTGTGCAGATATTTGAATATGGTTCCTTTTACACAACCACAGTGCAGGAAGCCTGAGTGGTTACTGCCTAATCCTGCAGGATCTATAAGGAGAGGCCCTCAGGAAGGGAATTCCAGCCTTGAAAGCATTTTATACCCAGAGAAATAGCAAGGGAAGTTTGTTGCAAAGTGCCTGTGACCCTCCCAGCACATCAGTGCAGTGGGAAAGAATGTGCCCCTTGCCCTGTTCAGCTGCAGTGCCCCTGCAACCACCGTAAAATAGTGCATGTTGCCTGCTTTGCCAGGAGCAAATGCTTTATTTAAGGAAGAAGAGGATTCCCAGTGCCAAAGTGTGTTCTCAGTTGCTTTAGTGGGAGCGTGAGGTGGCTGGGGGAGCAAAGGGAGCTGCTTTTTCAGGAAGGCTACAGCACTGTGTCAATTATTGCCTGAGCCTTGGGCTCACTGAGGGAGGGGACAAATCTGCTCCTGCCCCCACAGCACATTTGGCCACTGTTTCAAAAATGACCCTTCCAGGGATCACTGTGGTGGTGGCCTTGGGAAGTTTGGGTGCTCTTCTTTGCCCTGGATTCACAGCTGGTGACTCACTTTAGATGAGGTGGAAAAAGAAGGGTCACTAACTCCAGAGACAAATATTGACCAAGATAAATCTTCCCTCTGAAAGTACAGAAAACATTGTGTTCTTTGAAACAGGTCCAGTATGTTTGATTGAGTGTTTCTTTGTGAAAAAGTTCAGCATGTGTTGGTATCAAAGCCACAAAGAGATTAAGGGAATTAGTCCAGCTCCTTTTAAACCCAAAACTAGAGCTGGCCCAGCTGTACCCTTACCAGAAACCTGAGTTTTGGCTGGGCTACTGAGAAATATCAGTGGGGAGGGGCAGCTTATTTTATTCTTCCTTTGCCCAGGGACATTTTGAAAAGCCCAAAGTTCTGAAGTGTTCCACGCCATTGGGACAGAAATTAAGAGTTTGGATTTATAGAATTCCCTATCAGAGCTATTTTGGCTTAATCTTTAAAAAGCAGTTTGAATAAATTTCATGGAATTCACTGAAGCTAAATAAATTTGCTCCAGCGTTCAGGTGGAACTTGAATCAAAACTTCCTGGGTTTAAATTCTGCAATTGGTATTTCGTTTTAATTGGAATAATATATTTTTATATTTTACCAATCTATAAAAATCTTTCCTATTGCTAAATTTTACCATCACCTTTTGTGCATATGTGTGTGCATGTTTTTAAATGCCTATTAGTTCATGGACCAATTAAGATTTTCCATTATTGTCGTACAGAATGCAGAGAGATGCTCAACACTACAAATAGAAAGCAAGACCATGGCTTTTTATGTGGGTTTAGATTCATTTTCATGAGACAAATTCAGGGACCAGCCACATAACAGAGGAAAAGAAGTGCAGAGATTCAGGTATCTGTTTCACATTGAAAAAATAAAACAAACCCTAGCAGGCAAAACTGAAGTAAGGAACTGCAATCCCATGCCTGCGTTCTGACTACTGTGCAGTTGCCTTGGGCTGCCCCAGCAATGGCCCTGAGCACATGAAGCCAGTAATCCCAGCAGTGGCTTCTCGAGGCATAAGAATGTAAATATTATGCAAAGTACATTCATTGTTTGACTTGTGCTTTTACTCAGAATGAGGAGAAAAATCTAACCAGCTGCGGAATTGTTTCCCTTGGTGTTTTCACTAGAACTTGTAACCCAGTGTTCTTCAACTGGTATTTGGAGAAGGAAGAATGATGGTAACAAGAGGATGCAGCCTCTATTCCTCCTAGGCTGCTGATATGGAAAAATGTATATTTTCATCTCTTTAGAATATCAAAACGCCTGAAAGGTGGCAGACTTTTCTGCTTCTTTAGGGGGAGAAAACAAGTGGGACAAAAAGTCAATATAAGATCAGTTTACCCTGCTTTTTAATGGAAATAAAGCTGATGAGATCACTCATAAGCACATATGAGATAATTTCTTCCTCAGAACTGTCAACAAATTTAAATTAAATTTAACAGAGAGTAAAGCTCAGGAGCTCAGTTTCTACAAATTTCAAGAAAACAGGCAGCTGAAGAAAGAGAAATATCCTGTCAATTGCCAGGGAGGGAAGTGCTATATCACAAATGTCACCTCTGTTTTGCACCAAGTGATCCAAATGGTAGAAAAATGTTATTAAGGAGAAAACAGGGGAAAGGTTTATTCCTGATTTTTGGGTTTTGCTATGTCAGCCACACACCAGAGAGTTACACCTAGCTTAGCTAAACAGTTTGGGTTTCCCTGGTGTAATTTACCCTGAGGGTAATAATCTGCCCTGACTTTAAGAGAATCAGAGGAGCTGCTCCTAACTTGCCTGGTCCCAGCAGCACCAAATGTTGCTCTACAGCATTAGAGGGCAAGATTCTCTGTGTGGAAGGATGTGGATATTCACACCACTTTCTTTAAGGTGTGGTGCTCTAAGCTGGGAGGCCATAAACCCTCGGCTGATCTGAATGCACAGAAAAGCTTTTCTAGAGTTGGTGCAGGGTAAGTTTCTGCTCCTTTGTCCTACTGCTGTCCAAGCAAGAGAAGGAGAAGCAGCTCCTAACACAGGCTAATTCAACCTTCACCATCAGAAAGGCAGTTTCTTGCATTGTTAGAGAGACATGAAGATGTTCTGAAAGGCCATCACATTTTCCTGGGATATATAATAATTTCACGGCAATAACCTTGGGAAAAGCAATTTTCGTCTCTGAAATCACATCCAAACAATTGCAACCATCTTCAGTAAAATAAACCGCAATGAGTAAAGCCCATAACTTTGTTAATTAAGTGAAGATACAGCCTCAGGCAGAGGCTTGACAGAAATCAAGGGAAAGCACTGCCTGCAGCGTGACTCCAATGCACCTTACCTTGCTCTCCCTTGGTCTTTGTCAGTCCATCCACCACCCTTGGTTAATCCACTGTGATGCAGCTTGTCATTTTATCTTAGCAAAACCTAACCAGTGCAGTTACATTAGAAAAAACAAAATCATTTGCCACTATAACTAGCCATAAAAAGACATTGCTGTTTCACTGTGCAAAGCCAGGTGTGAAATGGAATGAGCTATTGCAAGGTGAGTTGGATGAATATTACTTCATATCCTTTGAAAATAAACTGCAAAGCCCAGCAGAATGTTTCCATAGCAGCAAAGCATTTTCACAGTAATGGATATTATTACTTTATTATTTCAGCAGCACTAAATCAAAGGAGGAAGGGTAAAAGAGTATGTTTGCAGCTTATTGTTCCTGGCCAGTGGAAACATACATTTCTTTTACTAAAAGTCTGAATGCTTACCAGTTGCAATGTCAGCCTTGTCCCAAGATGAAAACACAATATTTTTTAAATGAAAACTTTTGCTCTTTCAGTAAACTTTGGTGGCGGTAGCACACAGATAACTAGCACCCCACACTATAGATTCGCAAGTCATCAAATTTCCCCTTAGCAAATGACTAAAAAAAATCTGTCCTTGTAAATAAGAATTCGTGTCAGCAGTCTTGCAGCTTCAAATACTGTAAGATAAAGCCCAGAGTGTGTGTTAGTAATTAGCCAGCCTGAAGTCAGCCAGCCATTCTCAGAAACCGTGCGCTGGCATGGACTCTGTTGCAAGGAAACAAAACCAGGTCTGTGAGGCAAGCTGTGCAACGTTTTCCCTGTGCTAGATTAGCACCTACTACTCCACAATACTTACATTTATTAACCTCCAACTTGCTTCCATCTACTGGAATCGGATCTATGTAATCCCAGTAATATTCATAAGACCAGAAATACTCAGAGGAGTTTGTCCTGTTAGCCATGTCAGTGGTGCCAGCTCAGAACTCCGACCCACTGCTTTGCTTCATTGTACTTCAGCGCCCTCAGAAAGAGAATTGCACAACTGATGCCTGTGCCAATCACTCTGGGGTCCCGCAGCTCAAGGACTGCCTCGGGACTGAAAACATCCAGTGGCAATGAGTATTAATGTATGGCACAGATATAAGAGCAGCCCTGAAAATGCAATCCTCGCTTCTTGTCGGACATTCATGTTATTCCTCAGCATGTTTTCAACTGAGATGGGTGTCCCGTAAAGTAGGGACAGGGTGGACAAGTGCCAGCTGTGTCCCAAACCCTTCTCTCAGAGCAGCGCCCTGTTCCTGGGCACTCCTGAGCACAGCTGGGCTGAAAAACATTCCTGAATGTATCTGGATTGGAAGTGCTGGGGTCTGGAGGGGCCACACCAGGAGTAGCTGAGGGCGCTTGGCCTGTTCAGCCCGGAGGAAGTTGAGTCAGAGCTCACCGAGGGCTGCAGCTCCTCCCGAGAGGCTGCTCCGGTCTCTGCTCCCTCTTACAGGGACAGGACCCAGAGAACGGCTGGAGCTGCGTCTGGAGGGGTTTATGTCGGATACCAGGGAAAGGTTCTTCCCACAGAGGGTGCTGGGCACGGCCCCACAGAGCTCCAGGAGCATTTGGACAGCGCTGTCAGGGCTGCCCTGGGTGGGATTGTTGGAGTGTCTGTGCAGGGCCAAGGGTTGGGCTGGATGGCCCTTATGGGGCTCTGCCAGCTCAGGATGCTCTCTGAATGAGGCTTGACTTGATAAAACGCTTCATATATAAGGGTGTACTGGAATAAGCACATCCTTTGCTTTGGTTTGATCCTCTGCTCTAGTTCCGTGACCTCACGAGGTCCAGAGACCCCACGGACGGTGGAGGGGCGGCTCCGAGACGGCCCTCGGCGGGCGGGCGGCCCGGGGCAGGAACCGGGAGCGGTTCCGGGGCGGGCCTTGGCGGGCGGGCGGCCCGGGGCAGGAACCGGGAGCGGTTCCGGG